CATTCTATTCTCATTCTATTCTCATTCTATTCTCATTCTATTCTCCTCTCCTCTATTCTCGTAGATTGTTGACCAAATGGACCACATCACAAGCGTGCACCAAGTCAGAGAGGAAGGATTAAGCCATGGCAAAAAAAAAGAAAACCACAAACTGTACCAAACTTAATTAGCAGCCAGATACAATATGGGGCACAAGACCGGTGGTGGGTTCCGGATCTCATTGCAACCAGTATAGCGCGCATGCGTACTTACCGCCCATGATGCTCCGCAAAACCTGTGCGACGCTCCAGCTGCTTGATGGAGCATTGCGCAGGCACTGTACGCTCCGTGCGCGGAAGCCCCAAAAACTTCAAATACCGGTAAGGAGCGCAGGGAGGTGGGTGGGCCCTCTGGAGCACCATACTGCGACGGTACCTGGTGCTCCCGGCAGGCACCGGTACGCCTGTACTGGAGCGTACTAGTTGTAACCCACCACTGCACAAGACCCAAACAACAGGAAAATCTTTGGAGATGTGGACCATTCTGAGTGAAAGCATGATGGACCTCAATGCATAATAGCCACTGAAACTGGAAAATTTACCTTCTCTGCAGAAGCAGGAGCCGTCTGCCGGGGAACACATGCCATCGTTTTTGCAGTTGCAGGCCAGAGAGCAATTGACTCCGTAGCTTCCAAGAGGACACGTAACCGAGCAGATCTCTCCCTGGGAAACAAAAGAGATCTAGGCTGAGATCTTGGGGACACTGATTGCAATTCAGATGTTACTGAATTTCAACTCCCATCAGTCACAGCCCAGATGGTGTGAGCAGCGGTGGGTGGCTGATGCTGGGAATTCTCTGGAACCCCAAATTCTCAAACGTACTTTGTAGAGTTATAGCTTTGTAAATGTATAGTATCTTTGTAGAGCAGCACGATGGCTTAGAAGTGAAGATGCTCAGCTCCCACTCAGAAGGTTCAGAGTTCAATCCTAGCAGCAACAGATGTTTCTCTCTCAGAGTGCAAAGAAAAAAGAATCTACTGTGAACTCTGCATAGGCATAAGGAAGGGCATCTGGCCAGTAAATGCTCAGCTCCACTCAGTCACCCTGACTCTACCTCAAATTAAAAGATCACAGGCTCGTAAAAAGAAGTATCTTTGTAGTATATTATTTATTTAAGGAACATCATTTAAGGAATAACATTAAAAGAGGACATGGCTGAAGCATCTGACCTCCCTTATACTACTTGGAGGACCTTGAATAGGTTGAGAGTTGGAGTGCCTAAGTGTAAAACCAATATGCTCAAGTGGAGGCTGTTAACGGATAACAACACGCTGTGTAAAAGTGGGACTACACAGAGCCTGACCCATTTGCTACTACTGGAAATGTGTACCAATAATGACTTATCTGTTGCTTCATTCTGGCAGTTTAAAGTTTGATCTGGGCATGGAAGAAGAAGAAGTATATTATTTACTGTATTTTTCAGACTATAAGAAGCGCCAGTGTATAAGACGCACCAAGATTTCAAAGAGGTAAGTAAGAAAAAAAGTTTTTGTCCTCCCCGGCCCCCAGGAGCACTCTGTAGGCTTCAGCCGGGCTGGGGAAGGCAAAAATGCCCCCATTTTCTGCCCATGTTTCACCAAACAGGGACATTTTTCCCTTTTCCCAGCCCTGCTGAAGCCTGCAGAGTGCTTCTGGGGGGGGGGGGGGGGGGGGGGG